GGGGGCGTGAGTTAAGTGCTAGTAGAAGTGGTATACACACTTAAGGAAGCAGGGCGTTTCGCAGTTCTTACCGTTAATTGTCTACTTCATCAATTCGAATGCTCTCAAATGAGGCAAGAGACAGACAAAATACGGGCATATTAAATGGAGTCAACAAATTGGAAATTTGTTAAAATTGACTATTGACAAGTAGAAGAGCGCAAATGAAATGGAAATAATTGGCCGAGAGGAATGAAAATGGGCAGAGCGAGGGGGGACGGACGCGGTGGTGGGGGGGGGAGGGGGTTAAAAGGTGAATAAACAAAATGGTAGCATTAAGTGGAAAGGGATACTACCAAGGTGGAAGTACAACTAAAATGATCATTAAATATTTCCTCCTGACGAAATTAATATTTAGCTTTTGTTTCCTACCAATTTTTGAATGGTAAATGTGGTACCACTGTGAACATCCACACATGCTGAAGCCAAGGTCAAAAGTCTAATGCCCATTGATGCTCACCCCCAACGATCGAATTGGTTAATTTGAGCAAGAGCAGAGTGAGTGCTTCCCAAAGGCTACCATTAAAGCAACTTGCTTCAAAAGGATTAGGGACTCATTAACCCTTTAAAATTCGAATTATTTTTTTTGAAAACTATACCCAACCGCACTCACGCGTGTCTTAGAGCACAAACTATTGCCAATGTGATGAGTTTTGGTGGTGCATCAGATAAAGGCTATAGACACGTATTGAACATGTTTCAAGTAACGATAACGCCTTCCGTTACGAGTCTACTACCAACGGAGCTTATTTTGGAAGATGAGCGTACGATCCTGCAGGGCGTTAATTGGTTAAATATTTATTGATTTATGTCAAATGGCAGGCGTTTTGATAGTCATCATTAACCCTTTAGTTGACTTCGGACTTCACTGAGGGGAGGTATATCAAAGTAATAAAAAGTCGAGAGGGAGAGGGAACAGAAGTGTGATTCACAGATGTGGAAGAGACAGACAGCAAGGTAGAAAAAAGGTGAGGTGAGCAACTGTGGAAGGGGTCGAATATGATATACAGAGCGGTGATGGTAGTTTGAAGTCAGAAGTCAACTGCCAGTTTAGTTCTGGTAGTTTGAAGTCAGAAGTCAACTGCCAGTTTATTGACTTTTTTGCCGTATGAGCATACGCTGTCCAGGGTGCACTACGTGGAGGTAAGTCTATCGAACACCCCCATGGGTTAAATATAGAATGATCATTATCACTTGATTTCGTGAAAGTAGGACATAAAAGCCTGCTGGGCTATTTCCATGCAATTAATTAATTAATTAAACGCAGTTCGCACATGAGAATGGAGAAGACATGAAGTCATCGCAAAGCCAAGCAGAAATCGGCAAAAAATGTGCTCCAAACGAACTTTGGTCAGAAATAATGACATTTTTTTCTATCGTTTTCGACAGCAATTGGATACGAAAAAGTCATTTTAATTGATAAGCATAGAAACGATTTCCAGAGGCGTACAAAGATTGACCTAATTGGCTTCTACAATCACCTTCTTTGATACCTTGTCAATACAATTATTGGAATTTTCGATTATTGTAGGGCGAATGAAAGCGAATATTCAGTGTCTGATTTTAAGTTAAAATTTTACAACTTAAGGAGTTAATTCAACTCGAAGCGATAATAAATGATTTTTAATTTATAAAAATTTAATTTTAATATTTATTAGCATTGCACTTCCGAGATAAAGACCACAACATTGAAGAAGACGAAGGAGGCTATATTTTGGGTACACTATGCCGATTCAAAAAAAAGAACAAAGACGACAAAACAAAGCATTCAGCCTGTTCAGTAGTATCAAGGGATAATGAAACACTGCAGCCTGGCTACAAGTAATTATCCCCCACCCCACCCCCGAAAATCGGACCACAGTAATTAGTGAACGTCAGCGATTTCTATTCCAAAATCTTCCAGTTTTTTTGGCTTAAGAAGTGGGCGAATCAGCTATTAGATATTCGATTAGCTTGTGACCAAAAACCATTGTCCTATTTAATGCAATAAGCTAATTTTAGTGTTTAATAAAGCTAGCAAATTACAAACCTGATGCAGTAGATTATTCATAACGAGAATGCCACATGGAGACCGCTCCAAAATATGGTAGACAGATTCGTAGAAGGTGTTCGGCACACGACCCAAACATCCATCCAGTTGTCTTTGGTATAACACATCTACCGATGACCTGGTCTCCTCTTTCGATGGTGGTGATTCTATATATAATGAAGCAAAAAAAAGAATATTATAAAGTAAAACAAAAGCTCGAGGAAAGCGTGTCTGCCAAAACGAGAAAAAAACCGCACCCTTTCTTGATTCCGAAGTCATACACCTTTTTTGCCTATCACGAGAAGAGGTATGAATAAGATTGTCGGAGCAGAGGGTTCGGTAGAGAAGACTCTTCAGGTTTGAAGGAGAGAGGGACTGCAATCGACAGGCCCCAAGACTGCGAGCTTCAGCAACATTGGCCTCGTTAAGGGATTGAGTTTCGATTTTTAAGTCTTCTTCCTGGTCTCCAGCTGCTCGTGATTCTTCCGCCTCCAAGTGGAGTTTCATGGCTTCCAAGAACCAACTAAAAGTTTGAACAAAAAATAATTCGGCTCAAATGAAATATCCGCGTTAGAAACGGGAAAGAATTCTACTTATAAGCAGGTAATCATGCGTGCGCAGTCGACGACACATTCACTCATTTGCAGATAACAAATTATTTTTTTTACGCGCGACTAATTTGAGTACGGAGGTAGATTGGGAAAGTAGATTTACGGTTATAGGAAGGAAGCATAAAACGCCCACCACAGGGTATGGACAAAAAAGCATTTCCGCTAAGCAAACAGATATACACATATGCATATTAATGCTATATTGCGGTTCCGGATATGAGCATTTGGGGGTAGGATTGATTTATGGAAAAGGTGGAATATGGACGCGAAATCCTGTTTAAGAAGTAGGACATAATTAAAAGAAACTGCACTCATGTTTTCCCAAAAGTGTAGACCAATAAAGGCTGCGTTTTAGCTGTTGAAAGTTAAGCTCTGACCTTACTGGAAGCAAGTAATGCAAAATTTGAAAATATGATGAACAGTTTGAGGGAATAAAGAAAAAAAGCGCGAAATGCTTCCCAATTTTCAGTTTTATGCCTTCAATTAGTTAAACTCGGTTGATTCGGTTAGACAGAGCGCCTCCTAACACATTCTGACATAAGCGCACTCTCGAACGTGTATCGTCTAATTATTGATTTATTTACACGCTCTTAATCCACCTCTTTGACTCATGGGATGGCATAGGAAAGTCAGCGATATCTAAGATACGCGAGATCGGTTGTTAGCAGTTGTTGGTGTAAAGGTAATAGTTGGGAACTCAAGTGCCCCTTATCATACCTTCATTTAATAAGCTTAACCAGACAATATGTTATTTCAGAAGGTCCTGTACTAAAATAATTAGACAGGGCAGATATCTACATGAACACCACTAATTTCCCAACCTATCCAATATATTTTATATCATAGGGCAGGCGTTACGGTAGTTATCATTAGCCCTTTTGTTGACTTCAGGCTTCACAGAGAGGAAGGAAGGAATAGAAGAGTGTTTCAAAGATGTAAAAGAAACAGACACAAAGGTCGAAAAAAGGTGAGGCGAGTACAGTGAAAGTGGTGGAATATGACATAGAGTGGGGTGATGGTAGTTTGAAGTGAGAAATATGACATACAGTGGGGTCATGGTAGTTTGAAGTCAGAGGTCAACTGCCGGTTTATAGACTTTTTGCCGTGTTAGGGTTAGATCAACTGCCGGTTTATAGACTTTTTTGCCGTATGCGCATACACAATGACATACAGTGGGGTGATGGTAGTTTGAAGTGAGAAGTTGTGACATATAGTGGGGTGAGGGTAGTTTGAAGTCAGAAGTCCACTGCCGGTTTATAGACTTTTTGCCGTATGAGTATACTTTGTAACATACAGTGGGGTCATGGTAGTTTGAAGTCAGAAGTCAAGAAGTCAACTGCCAGTTAATAGACTATTTTGCCGTATGAGAATATGTTGCCCAGGGTGCACTGCATGGAGGTAAGTCTATCGCGCACCTATCCAATAGGGCACACAAATTAGAAGTGCACAGACAAAACTATAAACATTTGCTTCAACTACCGACATAGCTTGATAACAACCAAGGCATAATTAGGGTCAAGGCTATTGCATTCATAATAGATGGCAAAATCCACTATCAAAAGCTGACTAAACACTTATCGATGCAAATACGACGGCCAGACAAATCAACCATATGGGACATTGTGAACTGTCTTTTCTAATATCCAGCAATTAACGAGAGAGGACCATTTTAACACGTCTGGAAATTGGTTTCAAGTTCTAATCTGCATATAATTTTTACCAAACAAGATGTTTTATACCAGAATGAAGGGTGCTAGCATTGAGATCCCGACTAACATGACGGTAATAAAGGAGACAATGAAGTTGCTCACGCGTAAGATTCTACCAATTCTAGTGGTACTTTTACAAAAACTATCATTGAAATTTAGATAAGTGCAAAAAGACAAGACCATATATAGCATTACTTACCCCAATCGAATGATGGCAATATTCTTAAAGAGTGACCTGTCCTTGTTGAGCAGAGCAGCGACATATAAGATGAGTTCCTGCTGAAGGGACATCTGAAGTGGATCCACATGGTAAACAGTGTCTTGGAGAAGATCGCAGAGTTCACGCGGATTCATGGGTTTGTTGACACCGACCTCGGGTCCTTGCACTGTACCAATGGTCAATTGCTTCCCAGAGACGAGGATTGAAGAGGTTGAAGGCGCCAGACTGTGCACGTAGTTGCCTAGCAACGCGGAAGTGAGACGCACGACAGTCCTTTAGGAGAAAGGAGAAAAGATTGTCTCATAGTAAAGTCATGAGAGCATGCATTACTTCAACTTCGAACAAGGTCAATAGGCAAAGATTCGATGTTTATCCGATGAAACAGCCTAACAAACTGTAAGCCTTAAAAATGCTTTAGGAAGACATTCCCTTTGCAAAAGATTGATTTACATCAAATGGCAGGCGTTTGATAGTTGTCATGAGCCCTCTAGTTGACTTCAGGCATCACAGAGAGGAGGAAGAACATCAAAGTGAAAAAAGTCGAGAGGTGGGGGGGGGGG